TGAACATCTTTCTAGGCCTTTTGGCATTAAAGAGTTCAGGATTTGAGCATATTACTTCTCTGGCAAAATCTTTCATCAGCTTCCTCATGTGTTCAGAGTGGCTCATGTTGCCCTGTGCTGGGCTCTGGGGAGACCAAGGGACCTCCAGCCTGCACAGGACTCAGTGAGCAAACTGATCCAGGCAGCTCTTGAATGAGCATGGCAGCACACCAGTACTCACTGGCCAGGGCTCACTGAGGTCATAAAAGGTCTATGATGGCAGCTGTATAGGTAGTTACATATAGATACACACAGCCTTTTGTACAAATACATGCTATTTAGTACTTTCAGTGAGTTTAGTGCTTCCATGCGGGTTAAAACTCTCCACAGATATTCCTTGGGGTCACTGATGTAATAGTCCAGCCTATTTCAGACAATACAGAGTTCAGGCAGAGTTTGCTGTTGGTGTCTTTGGATGCACACAAAGCTCCCTTTTGTTTTCTCCTGCCAATACTTTCAGCTGTTATAGTAATTGGACTAATGAGGTTTAGTCTTTAAGAAAACTGCTGGATTTGGTCCAGAAGAGCACTCAAGGGTTAAGGACTGAATCAGGTTTCACTGTTAAGCTAATATTGAGCATAGCTGCAGTGTTACAGAAAGAATAAAGTGCTGATGTTTGCAGTAAACTGTGCCTGGGTATCCTGATCGAATAAAGTAAATAGAGAAGAGCTTCCCTTGGGCAGTGCCTTGTGCCATGTATCCCACTAAGTAGAGCTGTGCAAAAGTTGACTTTCACCATGTCAATGTCACCGTGAAATAGAAGTTGTTCTGGTTTGGGTTCCACAGAGCATTTCCAACAGGCATTACTTTGTAACCAGCAGGAAAGGAAGAAGGAGGCAGCAGCTCTGCCTTTAACCTTGGAAAATTCCACAAAGATGGAGGAGTCCCTGAGATTCTCTGGGTCTCTTTAGACTTTCAGTGGTGTGAGAAATGGTGTGTGTCCTGTGACTGTCCCGTTCAAGTTGTTTCCCTTTGCTCATGCTTACACCCCAAATGAAGAGATTCTTTAAGTGGGAAACTGAAGGACAGTTTGGTTGAGGAAAATAGTGTTAGAGTAGTATTGGACTGTTGATACTTGCTGTCCTCAAGATGTAGGTTTGTCCTCTCCAGTCATCTGTCACTGCCCTGCTGCTGTGCTTCTAAAACATGGAGTGCTTGTGATCACCCCTCAACCCTTCAGGGCTTTGTTGGACGAAACTGCCTAACCATTAGAGTTGGAGCCAGAAGTGTGTTTTCAAGATTTGAGGTGAAGTACTGCCAAGTTTCTCAGCTAGAAGTGTGAGTTATTCCCTGGAATGCTTTCAAATTAAAAGGAAAACAAAAAAACCCCTTAATTCAGAAGGTACTTAAATGTTAATGTCAACAAAACATAAACCTATGAGTAAATTAGGAGCATATTTCCCTTCTTTGATTTCAGTAACAAAAGAAGAAGAGTTTGGTGTTCCTGAATCAGGGCAGTTTATGGGTTTAACTTTCATCAGAATTCTGAGGAATAACAATAATAATAATAATAATTTCAACTGAATTCTGAGGAATAACAGAGGGAAGAGAAATATGAATGAAAAAATTTTGAGTACCAGAATTTCCTGATTCCAAGTATTTTTTTTCCAGATGTCCAAACATTTGATTTTTGTGGGAGCAGATCCATGACCCTCAATAAAGTAAACTTGTCTGTATGCAAATGAAAACAATGTGCAAAGTTTAGTGTGTAGCAGTTTCTGAAGACAAATGGACTGAGTACTAAGATAGATGAATCATGAGCACCACCTGTGGAACTTACAGCCATGTACCTTAGAAAATCTGGACAATAAATTCCCTGAATGTTGCCTATTATTGGGTTATTTGGTTATGATATAGAGTTAATTGATATTGCTGGGTTATAAAGAAACATGACTGAAGGAGGGGACAAATAGCATACAAAATACATCCAATTTGGCTTTTGGTTGCATGATCTTGGAAGCCTTCCTAGACTCTTGTCCAACAGTTAAAAACTAATTTAAAGCTGGGAAATGTAGAATGCACTTTCTATTTATTACAGTAAGAGCTCAGTGACTGTAGACAATGCTCTGCAAACAAACACCAGCAGAAAGAGGCATTCTCCTGAGTATGTTGCAAAATAATTTGGACAGTGGAGAGGCCAAAGCAAATGAGGTTATTTTGGACACTGATGTGAGAATGGCTCATGAGTTTGGTGTGCATTTAAGGTCCTTTCAATTTATATTTTTAAAAGATGAGATGATAAACTGAACGTCAATATCTTAGCTTTTCTTTGTTGAGTACAAATATCTGACTTTCTGTCTGTTCTTTACTTCCCTTCAATCAATGGAAAGCAGCCCTAAAGAAAAGGAGGCAAAACACAATGCTTGAAATGTCATTGTTGCCACAAACCTCCTCTTTTGCTGCACACAAAGCTGCAACCTTGTTTTTCTTAGTCTGGCCCTGGACTGTCATGAATCCTGCTTCAACACAGAGGCCTCCATCTTCTCCAAAGGTGGCTCCTTGATTTGCATCTCCAGGTTTATTCTGCCAAGTGAAAAGCATGCTTACACCTCGTGTAGATGCTGGGGCTCTTTGGGATTGTCTCCTCACCTCCAGGCTCCCAAGCTGGTTATGAGGGGTGTCTTTCAACCAGCAGCCAGCCTTCTTCTCCTCAAACATGACTGATGCACCCAGCATCCAAAACCAGCTTTGCTGTCAGAGCAGCAGCAACTTCACATGGCAGCTCTGTGTGTGAAGATATGTTGGAGCTTGAGGTAAAATTACATTGGCTTAGTGCAATACACTAAGCAAAGGTGCACAACATCTCCAGCAAGGCTGAAAGAGAAGCTCCTGGTGCCTCCAAAGCCTGCCCTGGTCCCTTTGGTCAGTAGATGACTCCCTGTACTCTCCCCACCAACTCAGCCCAATGGCTGAGACTCTTCGACAGCTTTGCAATAATCTGAGAGGGAAATTGAGAAAGATATCTGAGCATTTACACCCTTTGATAATTTCCTACCCTCCAAAAGGCAGCTGTGGTCTTCACGTCAACCTTATAAATGTTTCCACTTCAAATATTACATAATATTCAAATTTGACCTCTTGACTGCTGATTTGGACAAAGATGTAGCAGGACCCCAACAATGTAAAGGACAATTTAAAGATATTCTGCCTTTTCATAAGCTAACGAATAGCGATTTTGTTAATAATGAAAATTCTGTTTAAAATTTCCCTGAGTTTATCTTGGTCTGTAAGGGTCTTTAAATACCTGAGTCCCCTTTCAAGCAGCATACAAAGCCCTTCATGCTGGCAGCAGAAGACCAGAAAGTGAAGGGCTATGTATAGAGATTTCTGCCAAGGCAAACTGTGCTCCCAGTCAATGATGGCAAATGTGAACGTTTTGACAAACAAACAAAATCAGAAAAATAGAGGTCAAAGTCCTGAATCCCAGCACAAATGGGTTTTCCTGTGAGAGGCAGCTGTTAGTTGGGATAGTCATAACTATGTCTTGGCCCTCACAGGCCATCCTTGGCATCTCCCTTGGTCTGGGAGATGACACTCTCTTTTACCTTTCTTGCCTCTTCCAGGTCTCCTCCTTTGACTGCACAGTGATAATTTTCCAGATGCAGAGGTTTGATGTGCTGACCTAAAACCCAAATCTGGAAACTGAGAGAAACTGGAGATGCTACAGTTGAATTCTCCACAGCATTTGATGAAAGTGAATGGGCAAAATCTATTTGTCTTATTGGTACTGAGTGGTCAGCACTGCTATGGGTTTAAAGGGAAGAACTTTCCCAGAAACGGCAGGATGATGATTCTTTAAGTGTTATACTGTAATTTGTCAAAAATAGAACATCAAAGTCATGTAGGGATTGAGAAATTCTACAAAATCAGCAATGTTTTGCAATGGAGCGAAGTGAAGAGTCACATTAGAGCTGAGGAGGCTTGTTTAAACATGCCAAGTATATTTGCCAGGTGAGACTGAGGTGTGGAGACCAAGAAATTATTACCTATGGACCATGGTTTTATCTTGGACAAAACCATGCATTTTTCTGGAACTATTTCCAGTTCTCCAAGGTAATCTTATGAGAAGATACAACCACAACAAAGATGTTTTAGTCTATCAAATCCATTTCTAGAGATATGACATGTGAAACAGTATTGCTTAGTCATAAGGTAAAGTTTAGTGGAAGAAGTTCAAAATCTGCTCTGAAATACATGTGTAAATCTGCACAGGTGAATTCCCCTTCTCCCAAATCTAGCAGGGAAAGGATCACAGCTAACACCTTTCAGAAAGACAGCAGGCAGATGTGGAGGTTTATCTTTAATTTCTCGAGTGCAAGGAGAATTGTGTAGTTAAGAGGTTAAAGATCCAGCTGGGGTCAGTGGCACTGGGTAACAATTCCTGCTGTTCATCACTGCCCTGTGAGGGATGGGCTCTGTCCCCCTGAGCAGCTGTGCACAGGCTGGACCACAGAGCTCCGGTGTTTGTAAAGTGCTGCTCTATTCCAGTTGTTCTCTTGTGCTCATTTACAGAACATGTATGCTGTGAACGCTGGCAAGATGTACATATGAAAACAGTAAATAAAATTATAATAAACTATAAGGCAAACTAAGAGTAAATATGAAGGCTCTAGCTTTGTACAGTGTGTTCAGCTTTTACTTCTTTGAGTAGTTTTACAGGAACAAAACAACCCAAGTTTGGAGTGTATGACTGAGGTAATTTTCCAGTGATTCACTCAGGCCACCTTTGTTAGGCAATTTGTGCGTTAAGAAAGGGAAGCCAGAGAGGCTGTGAGAAGCCGAGGAGCAGAGTGGAAATTTCTCTTTGAAGTGTTCCAGGAATGAATGTGTTAAATGTTTTCATCAGAGACACACACAAAAAAAGGCAGATTGTGGATTTGCAAGAAAAGTTTACAAAAGAGAGTGAAAAGCCCCTCACACCTAAAAGAGTAGGAAAGAAAGAGCACAGCGTTGACTTTTTAGCAGCCTTTAACTTTAGAAAGAATGTAATCGCTGGGGGCAGAGCCCACTGCAGCGGGACCTCCCCCACAAAACTGCCGGGATAAATCCACTTCCCCCAGCAAGGCAGGCAGTCCTCGAAAGGAGGGAGAGCCTTGCAGCTGCCCCGGAGCCGCAGGAACAGCCATGTCCACGGGGAAGCTCTGCTGCCTGCTGCTGCTGACCCTGGGGGTGCTGGCAGTGGCAGTGACACTTGTGGTCATCCTGACTCAGCCCAGGTGCGCTCCCCAGCAGTACCTGCACGGTGCCGTGGCTGCTGACACCGAGAGCTGCTCCCTGGTCGGCCGGTAGGTGCACGGAGCCCCGAGCTCCTCGGTTCCCTTGCTGTGGGTGTGTCGTGACTCGGGCTGACACCGCGACAAGCGCTAACCACGGGCTGAGCCGCGCTCCTGCCCCGTCCCGGCTCCGGGGCTGCGCAGAGATGCTCAAACTCCAGCCGGAGCTCCGGGGCTGATGCTTACTTACGTTACAGTGTCCCAAACACTTGCAGCCGTGCAAACTCTTGGCCTTTTGGAAGGTATAAATATTTGTAGTATACAAGTACAATGTTGGTTTTAAGTGAGGAAGGAAGAAATTTACTTTTTATAGTGTGGTAGATCTGTCAGATAAGTGGCTTAGGATAAATCAAGAAGTTAGAGGAGTTTGCAGAGAGCTGCAGCCAGGCTTCAACAGAGACAAGGAAGGGAAGGCAGGGAAAGGGGGACTGGCATCCCTGCCTTTTGGGGATGTGTTTCTGGTCTGAATCCTGCAGCAAGTGTGTCTGCTACGAAGGAAAAAACAAAGAGCAGATTTAATTGAAATTCAGTCAAGAGAGTAGAAGTACAAAGGACATATTTACATCACTTGGAAAGAAAGATGTAGGTTAAAAATTCTCTAGGTGCTCAGGTTGTACAACTTCAGTTTGTGTAAATCTTGTCTCTCAAACATTTTGATTCCCACGTTATTATTTTACTGTTCCTTCAATTATTAAATGCCTGTATCCATGAAAACAGAAGGATGGAAGTTTACATGATGTGCTGGATGCTCCAGTGATGGACGCTGGAGCTGTGTGCTCTGCCTTGTGGCTGGGGGAGTGAAATGAGACGCGGTGCCATAATATCACACTTTACACACTCACCCCTGATTCTGGCAATGACTGGCACAGCTTTTGTGAGTAGCTGGAGAAAATATACTGTGGCTGCACATATGTCGAGGAGCAAGATAGGGTTTTTTATGTGAAGCCACATGTTAGTTCTTTAGAAAGCAGAAGTATTTTTAAAATAGCTATTAATGGAAAAAAGGAAAATACATAATTGGATTGCCCAAAAAATCTGCTGGGGAAAACCACTGCATTTGTTTTTGCAGCTATTGTAAATTTTAACTTGGTGTAGTGTATAATTGGCTGGAAGATGTTGAAGTGAGAGCCACAGAAATCTGTGGTTAGTGGACAGCTGAGCAGCTTTATCTAATTGTCTACTGCTTCTGGCTACTGCTACTGCGGGCTGTCTAACTGGCTACTGCTACTACTGCTTTCCTTCCCTTCTCTCAGCAAGAAGCTCCACAGGTTTGCTCAGCCCCCACCATTGCTGCAGCTGCACCTCCAGCACACTTGCTGGCAGGTCTGTGCTGTCCCTCCAGTCTGATGGACCAACTCAAATTTCCTACAAATAGTCTGCCAATGATCTCCACAAAACCCTGCCTTTGCTCCACCTTCCCATCACATTTTTTTCTGCCTTTTGCCCATCCTGGGGCATCTGGACATCAGGTCCTTCTCTCTCCTCCAGCCCTGCCAAGCCTCTGGGACCTCCCCAGCCATGGTTGTTCTCCTCCTTTGCCTGGGCTGTACACTGCTCACCCTCTGCCTTGTGGTCAGCTTTACTCCCCTGCTGCTGCATGATTGCTGATGGTTTTTTTTTCCCAGTATCCTTTGCCTTCAGCCATTCTTGGAAATCTTGGTGCTCATTTCATGCTGTCCTTAGACCTGGAATGAGACAATGTGTTGTTCTCCCAGCTCCTTCTGTGCATGTTCTTGTAAAAGATTGTAATAAAAGTAAAATTGTTTATAAAAATGTTCCTCTGCAAGAGAGCTTGGGATCAGAAGTTTGTATAATATTTGCCCTTTTCCTTGTTGTTGCAATAGTTCTTTCTCCATTCCACTAACCTACAGTGGTGGCTTCATTTTTCCCTCTAGGAAGCTTATTGAGTGCTCTGCACTGCATGTGATCTTGTTAATTTTCTCCCAGACATTTCTGTGCTGTTATACCTGTATGCCACTTTTTAAGCTCTCAGCTCTTAGCACACGATGGTCACTGCTAGATTAATTCTCAGACCAAACTGTGAGGTGAGAAAATGATGTTCTTTCACTGGTGAGGAAGTCTGACATGGCAGTGACACTGTGAGGATGCCACAGAGAGGGGCTCAGCCTTTCAGAGCCATCTGCTCTGCTCTGTGACCTCCTGTGTGACTCTGCAGGGTGAGGGCTTCCTCAAGGCTGACTCAGGGTCCCTGGTGGAGCACCATGAGATGATAAACTTACAGCTGCTTCCTGCCTCATCTTTGCTGAGTAAGATTTTAAAATCCATAGGAATTTTGTCACAGCAGTAGCAACAAAGTCCAGTTTCAGAGAGTAGTCTCTGGCTTAGGCCCTGCTGTCCCCATGTCTGTACTGGCAGTCCGTGTGCCACTTTCCTTCAGCAGCAAGGTGAGAGCAGGGCCAAGCCCAGCAGCCCAAGATGCCAGTCCCTAAAGGTGCACTACAGGGCTGGTTTGCCCCTGCTCTTCCTCACCGGCCTTGCAGACCCTCTCTCCTGCTGTGACCTCAGGCTGTTCCTCACAGCCACTCCTTTCATCCTGCAAATCCCTCCCAAGCTCACAGGAGTCCTTGTGGGGGATGCTCAGAGAACTGCTCTGGTGCTTAAAGCCTTGGAATCTAAAAGCAGCACCTAATCTCTGATTTACAGATTTTATTCTTTAATTAAAAAAACTTGTTTATTTTAAAGATAAACTCAAACCACATCCTCTGTGAGTTTTCAGGAATGAAATTCCTGAGGCACTACATGATACTCTGTTGGTTTAAGATTCTTTCATTTGGGAATCTTTGTGTGTTCCTAATAGAATTGTCAATTGGATTTATTGAGAATAACTGAACTAAACTCGCCCAAGGAGGAATCTTGTATTTCAGTGAATGTGATAGTGGTTAGGGAAAACACTTAGGGCCTATGTGTTTTCCAGCTCTGGAGACTGTGCTCACGTACTCTGGAGTTCTGAAATCGTTATTCAACTCTTTGGGTCCCTGCAGAAAGTGAGCAATCTCAGCGAGCCTTCAGCCTGTCACCATCCATGTTGGCAGGTCCTGAAATAAACTTCCCCTTAGCCATCAGTGCTCAATTCTCAGTGCTGAACAAGGCTGGGTCTCTTGCTGTATTTTTTCTGCTGGAAATTGGGGGCTGAAAGCAACCTTGTACAGCTGGCTGGTCCAGACTAACACCCTGCCTTGGGAGAAAACCTATCCCTGAAGGAAGTGAAACACTGATGAAGATGGGTGGGAGGCTAAAAGGAGAACCAGAGCAGTTTTCACCCAAAGATGTGGATTTGGTGGCACAGTACCCCCCACTAATTTGTCCTCATGTCCTGAAGAGACAGGACATGATTGTCCTGTGACACCAAGAGGTACTCAAACTTCGCCTCCAACTCCGAGCCACTTGTTCCCTCCTGGGAGAGGCTCTTTGCATTAAGCATGCAAAAAATTCTATATTCCCTACCAGTGTGCTCTTTGAGCTCTGTCGTCCACTGCTTTGCATTCCTTTGTTCCTCAAACGGTAGAGGCAAGAACTAGCATAAAGTCAGGGACAGATTTAGGAAAAATATTAATTCCCAGTGATGGGATTCACTGTAGCAAGGCGAGCTGACCTGGCCCGGCCCAGCAGCCATCCCATTTCTGATGGGATCCCGTCTCTCCAGTGTAACCCAGCACAAACCCTGGGAATTGGCCTTCTATGAAATCAACACCCCCCAGGGGAACAGGGTGGTGGGGAGGGTGAGAATGGTGAGACTTTAACAGTCCGAAAATGTCTGCAGCCCTGGGAAGCTCAGTTCTAGCCAGAGAATCTGATGCAAAAATTCTTTTCAGTGATGGCCCAGCAGATTTCTGAAGTATGTTTACATCCCAAAGGATTTGGTTTCCTTCTTGTACGTTTTAAATTTGGTAACTGGCTCTTTTTAAACAAAAGCAGTTGTTGCTTTTGCCCAGCATAAATCCTAAGGAGGCAGCTGCTGTATGTTGGGTGGTCTCCCAGTCCCCAGCCTTCTTCAGCAGAAAAAAAAGTCAATCCAATTTAATAGGTTGGCATTTCCAGTGTGTTTAAAGGGGCTTCAGGGCTCCTTCTAGCCTAGGGCAGAACAGTGTGCTTGGTCTGCAGTCCAGCACAGCCCATCTTTGCTGTGATCAAAATACCATCATTCCCCCTTCCAGGGAGGGTGAGTGAGTCTCTGTTTGCTGCTGCTGGATTGGGACTTGGCTGTTAACATCCTCTTCTGCTCCTTATTGTGAGGAAACTCCATTAATGACTAAGCCCTAAGCTGAAACTAGAAGGAAGGAAATGGGACAAAACATTGCTATCAGATCTTGTCAGCTGCAGCACCATTATCTCTAGAGAGACCTGGTGAGGTGCCACACTTAGATTAAGGATTTTGCATTATAATTAAGCTCATTGCAGCAGAGATCCACCTAAAGGGAGCCAGGTAATGGGACATAAATTCAGATGCGGTTTTGAATGTAATGTAATGGCCCCAAATTCCCCAGGCATCACTTCCAGGGAGGTGGCAGGTCTCTGACTGGAAGTCTGATGCACAGAAGCCACATGAGACACATCAAGAGCCAGTTCAGTGTATTTTCTGTGGAGTTTCAGTCTCTGGAGAGGCTGGAGGGACAGGTGTCAAGGCCAATGTGAATGTGCTGTGAATTTGGGTGAGAATCTGGTGCTTTTCAGGCTTTGGGAAATGTGCTTGATGTTCCCTGTTAAGGTCTTTATGCATTGCATTGAAATGGGCACTATACCATCTCCAAGCTTCTCTTTAAAGCTGTTTTTCACTGCCAGAACCATGCCTTTCCCTGTCACCAGGTTTGTCATGTGTTGCCTTACAGCCAATAATCCAGGGGCTGTGGGGAGCACTGTCCCGGGTCAGTGTAGCAGTCCTTCTTCCCTTTTTTCCAACTTTCTAACATGCTTTCTGGTTCTTCTGCAGAGGTGACTCAGTTTTTTAGGAAGTCCTGATGTTCTTTCTTTTTGTGGTCAGCAATTAACAGCTTCCATTTCAGAAAAACACCGCCCAGGGACATTGGTGTGATGAGTCCCTCCCCTGCTGCAAGGGGCTGGATGGGCGAGCCTAAACCTCAGTCTCCATGTTCAGAGCTAGCCAGGGAGCTCCTAGGAGGCCAAAAGCCATGAAGAACAGAACAGAACAGAAGGCCTGATGTTCCCTACTATTTCTTTTCTTCCCACTTGTCCACATGTTATTTCCTTACAGGCAGTGTTTTGGAGGCTCTTAGGGAAACAAAGGAAAGCCACAATCAGCGTGCCTGCTGGCAGCATCCTGTTCCCCGACCCAGCAGGTCCCAGCCATATCAGTGGATGTAAAATAAACACCAGCGTCTGTGTGTGCTCTGTGTTCCCATGCAAACTCTGGGAGCAGTTGCACTGCAATTAATGAACTATTCCAGTTCTCCCTCTGGCTCTGCCTTATCTGAGCAATAACCCAGTAAAACAATTAGGAACCTTCCTGGCAAACACCACAGCTGGCTACTGGCAGGAAATGCCATCCCATCTCTACTGCAAGGAAAAGATGTTATTCAGATGCTCTTGAGGGAAGCATTTATTGAGAAACGAATGTTTCTCTAACAGAACCTCGTTGCTGTCAGCAGCAAGAGGCTTGCCTTAGTGCCTGTGTGCTCCTACATGTAGCTGTGCCTTGGTAGAAGCAGTTGAGGGGTTTGTTTCCTGTTTGTTGTTTTGTTTCATTGTTGGTTTTGTCTTTGGGAATACAGGGAGCAGGGTGGGGCATTTTTATGCTAATAAGCCCAGGAAGTCACACTGTAGGAATAATGAAGCTGATTGACACCTTGTCTTGTGAGTTTGCTTCACATGGACCCAGTGTTCCCACTTTGGTGCTCCTGTCCAGTTGACCAGCATATGCCTTTGTTAAGAATGGCATTTGGGAAGCTGGAGATCAGTTGTTTGGTTCCTAGTATGTGGAAAGCCCTCTTCTGTGCCCAGAGCATCCTTCTCCACGTCTCAGGACTCCTTGCTGTCCCTTTGAGTCCACAGCATTTGTGAGCAGCTGCAGTTCTCTCTGTCCCATCACTCTTTGCCCAGAGGAAGTCCAGCCTCACACAGGTCTGGCCCTGGCTGTTCTTTCCTCCTGGGTACTCTCCTTTCTTTCCCTGTAATTGTTCCTTCTCTCTCTCCAGCAGAGTAGGGTTCCCCTCTGTACCCTCGCACCCCACACTGCTGCCACTACATTTCTCCAGCTGCTCTCCTCAGGTTGCAGGGCCCCAAGGAGGCATTTTCATGTGGTTCCTCCATTCTGACATTCCTGGATTTTAACAGTGTCTTTTTTCTTCCCTTCCCACCACAGGAACATCCTGAAAAGTGGAGGCTCAGCTGTGGATGCTGCCATTGCTGGCTTGATCTGCACCTCAGTGATGAACCCTCAGAGTTCAGGCCTGGGTGGTGGGGTCATATTTACCATCTATAATGCCAGCACAGGTATGGGCCTGCCCTGGCATCTCCATGGTGCCTCGTCCCTCTGCAGACACACAACTGCTGTGGAGAAATCAGAATCCTTCCTGTTCTCTCAGAGTAATATTTCTAATATAAAAGCTACATCACAAACCACACTCGTGCTCGTAATCCAAAGCATCCACCACAGGGAGCTGTGATTGTCATTTCACAGCAAGAATGGTTGTGTGGACAAAAGAGCTTTGATATAAAAGGAAGTGAGTTTGCCTCTCCTTCCCCCTCCAAAGCAATCCCAAAGTACATTTCAAAGTCACACAGCTGCAGCCAGGTGTGAGTGGCTGAGTGAGGCAGGCAGGAGGGGAGTGCAGTGTGTGCTGGCAGTGTTGGGCTGGCAGTGCCTCAGCTGAGTCCTTGGGATGGCACTTGAGGGGCTTGTGCTGCCCCAGAAGCCCTGGCAGTGCCTGCTGACTCTGGGGCTCTGTCTCACTGTCACCAGTGCTGATGTGACTCCCCAGGCATTGTTGGGACTTCCTGTCCCAGGAGATGCATCTCCACTTCAGAAATCTAAACCTAGCAGTCTTCAGTGTCTGCTGGGGAGTCTTTCTGTGTTTGGCTTAAACTCCAGTGTTGTTTTCTTGCTTTTATGTTTTTAATGTGGGAGTTTTTAAGTCTTGGCTTCCAAAAACCCCCAGAGCTTATATATCTAATAGTAATATCAACAATGAACACTGTAACAGTATCATAGTTTTAAAACCCCTGCCAAGTAGTTTCTCAGAGCCACAAATCTGGAAATGTTTGGGTATATCTTATGCAAGAGCTTAATTTGGCAGAACACCTATATTTTTCTTCTTTTTCATTTTGGCAGAGCGTGGAACTTTGTTTCCTGACAACAATCCTCCTCTGCTACCTGAGTTTGCTGCTGTACAGAGCTGCCCATGGCCATGCACAGCTCAGGCACTTGGTACACCAGGGAGCACTGTGGGCTCCTGCAGCACAGCTGGCTCTGTGGACTGTGATAGGGACAGATAAATACAAGGCAGAGAAGGAGGCAAAATGATAGGCTGGACCTGAAACACGAGTGTATGCAAGTGGGGGTTTGGGTTTGCTTTTGTCCTTGAGAGCTCCCTGATACACAAAGGGCTTTAAATATGATGGACTTGCCTCATCATCATTTGGAAAATGGCCCTCCCGGGAGTATGAGGCTCACATTGTGTTTCTGACATGTCCCATCTGTAGAAGAAGTGCAGGAACATGCAGGTGTGAGGCAGCATGTCCCATCCCATGTCCCATCCCATGTCCCAGCCCATGTCCCAGCCCATGTCCCAGCCCATGTCCCAGCCCATGTCCCAGCCTATAACCCTGGGGGGAGACAAGGCCTGGCCATCTCCCTGTGCTTTCAGTACCTTTAGGTGGGCAGTGCTTGGTTTGCTCTAAATAAAAGCACAAGAGTCAAGGACAAGTTGTGCTGACACCTGACCCTGCAGGTACATCTGGCACAGCTGGCAAAAGATTCCAGAGCAGCTCAGCTCTGGGCCAGCAGCACATGCAATGCTGCAGCTGACTGAAGGGTGATGTTCACCTGCCTCAGGAAAACAACATCATGCATTTCCCTCTCCTTCTTTCTAGGAGCAGTCGAGGTGATCAACGCCCGAGAGACAGTCCCACGAGTGTTTCCTCACAACTTACTGTCTGGCTGTGGTCCTCCTGGTTTTCCTGTTGGTAAGGACACAGCCTGGGCCACAGCTGCATGCCCTCCTGGTGTGCACAGAGCTCAGGGTGGGGAACTGAGCACCTCACTGACTTGGTCTGGAGTTCTATTTACTTTAACACACTCTACCTTGCCTTTTGCAAAAGTAACCAAAAGTACTAGGTCCATAAAAATTCCTGTTTGGTAATAACACCAAGCAACCTGACCAGTGAGACAATGGGGATCCAGCATGAGGAGAAATCACAATGTAACTTCTCTCATGGGAAGTCTGCAGTTCAAGACTGGATTTCCCAAAGCTCTCATTCCCCAGATGTTTTTACAGAGAAAAATAAGATCAATTGTTTTCTGGGAAAAAAAAAGAAATCAATCTCATGTGCTTGCCTGTGTCCATAGATTGGGGAAATATGCTGGCACATCAGGGGTTGAGTTGCTGGGCTCAGGCACTCTTCTTGCTTTACCAGCACATTTTGGATCTTTCCACATTTCTTACTGTATTCATTCTCCTTCTCTAGAAGGTTATCTTTTGGAGTGTGTCCCAGATTCTTATCCTTGGAAGTGCCTGGAAAGGAATTAGGAGCAACTCTGTTTGGAAGGAACAGCTGGAGATCTGCTCAAAGCAGGGTGATGTCAGGTGTTGCTCAGGCTGCTCAGGGTCTTGTCCTGTCACATTTTTGAGTTTCTCCAGGGATGGAGAATTTCACTGCTTCCCTTGTTCTGGTGTTTGACCAGGCCCCATGGGTGCCATTTCTCCAGTGTCCAGCTGCCACCTCCCTTGCTGCAGCATGTGCTTGTTGCCTGTTACACTTTCAGCACACTTCAGGCCTGGCTCCAACCTCTCTATACCCCTGCTGTTCAGTAACAGGGAAACACAAGAACAGGAAAAGGTAATCAACAAACCAAGCCTGCTTTTAGAAGCCTTGGTTGCCTCTACCGACTCAGATTTCCATCAGAGAGCTTTCAGAGAGGTGGAAGGCCCAAGGCAGTGAGTTGCTGGGTGTGACAGTGCTGTCCTGCTCTCAGGTCCCCAGTGGATTGGTGTGCCTGGCGAGCTCCGTGGCTATGAGGAAGCCCATAAACGACACGGCCGCTTACCATGGAAAGCCCTGTTTGAACCAACCATCAAGCTTCTTTCAGAGCCACTTGTCATTTCCCCAGTTCTGGACAAAATTCTCCATCACCCAGCCTTCTCTGCTCTGGGGAAAAGGCTATGGTAAGACTCATGAATGAAACTGCAGTGTGAGGGCCACTGTTCCCTCAGCTTCAGACCCTTTCTCTGACATGCTGACGTGGAGCACAGGCTGCTGCTGTGGTTTGGTGCTCAGGGAATATTTGCTATGGAGTGGGAGAGAATCACAGAAGTGGGTTTTTAAAACAGGCTGCAGTGTAGCACTGCCCTGGAAAGCACACAACATACATAATCCAGATCAGCTCTTGGTAGGGAAAAGAGGTCATTGGCCCTGGGCAAGAACAAGCTCATGGTAAAACTGATGAATGTTCTTCTTTCCCAGCCCACTGCTCTGTGATGGTCAGAGGCTGCTGAAGCGTGGTGAGACCTTCCGGTGGCGAGCGCTGCTGCAAACACTGCAAAGTGTAGCAGAACACGGAGCTGCAGAGTTTTATGAGGGAGACATAGCAAGGGCCCTGGTGGCAGATGCCAGCAAGGCTGGTAGGTAACAGCTACAGGTAGTCCTGATACACAGGCCTTGCCCCCAGCCATGGGCTCACAGTGAGCCTGTACCAGGGCAAAGCCAACACGTGGCATTTGCTGGTCACTTAGGGTGGCACCTGACGTGGCAAGAGGCCACCTTTCCTCAGTTGCTGTAACTCAGGCCCAGAAGCAGGGCTGAGACCACCCACTGCTCTTTGCCCACAGTGCTCATGCACTGGCCCCTCTGTCTCCTTCAGGCTTTGTGGCATGCTGGGGCTTGGCAGCACATGAGGATGTGTGATGGCAGTGCTGTGCTGGCTGGAAGGAATTTGGGCTGTATGGGGATGGCTCTTCACAAACTTTACCAAGGCTCTGATGTAGCAGCCCACAGCACCAGTACAAGTTTCTGTGCTAATGGCAGCTCCCGGGTCTCTGTTGAAGGGTCCAGTCTCTCACTGAAGGACCTTGGGGCATACAAAGCAGAGGTGTCCTCAGCTCTGAACATCACCCTGAACAACCACACCAAGGTATTTGCTCCAGGACCACCCATGGGAGGTGCAGTGCTCATGTTCATCCTCAAGGTATTGGAAGGTAAATTCCTAATGGGAAAGAGTCAGCAAGAGGCTTTCAGAGAGCGTTGCTCCAGAGTGATAAAATGCAATGGGCAGAAATTGAGTTTTGGAGGAGTGTGACCATGCTATGCAGCAGGATGAACCAGGTCACTTGTACAGTGGGTCAGCATCACTGTAGCTGCTGCAAAGGCCAAAGGATGCATGACTTTCACAATGCTTCAAAAGAAATTGAAGTCACAGTGGAAACTAGTACTTGGTTGTTTCTGCATCCACATCCTGCTAAAGCGTAGGGGAAACCTAGTAAGAACTGGGGTGGGAAGAGGAGGCTCCTTTCAACCTTTTTTTTTTTCTCGTCTTGAAAAAACACTGCCTCGGGTCTGTTAACAAAATTATTTCATCCTGCTCCATAGAGTATCAATTCCATAAAGCATCACTGGCAACACCTGAGAAGAAGGTAGAAACCTATCACTACATTGCAGAGGCCCTGAAGTTTGGCAACATGCTAAGACCCCACATGAGTGACCCAGCCTTCTCTGAAGCTCAGGTGAGCTCCATGGTGTGTTGGTACAGTGCTACAGACCAGGCAATGCTCTGACACTCTCCTTCTTTGCAGCCTGAAAGAAAATCCTTAGAGCTGCTGCTGAAGAGCAATGCAGCTGAGTTGGCCAAGGCAGAGGCAGGATCAGGCTGTTTGCTCTGCAGCTTCAGCTGTAGGCTGGCACTCGCCTGGCAAAGGATGTGCACAGGCTGCTGTGCCTCAGTGCTGAGCTTGGTCCATTTTCTGACATGGAAGTGGCCTGGGGCTGAATGCTGCCACTCCAGGACCCCAAGCTCTGACCACTGTGGCTCAGTTCCTGAAGCCTCCCCCTGCCCAAAGACCTGCCTGTGCTTTGGTGACCAGCTCGGTGTCCCTGCTGTGCTTGCAGGTGCCTGTGGGGACCCTGTTGTCTGACCAGTTTGCTGAGTTTGTGAGGCAGAAGATAGATACTCGTGGTGACCACCCCCTGGGCCACTACAGCCTGCTGGAGCCCCTGCACAATGACAAATACAGGAGTACGGGCACAAGCCACATCTCCGTGCTGGCTGCAGACGGCAGCGCCGTGTCTGCCACCAGCACCATCAACTTCCCGTGAGTAGCCTGGGCTTGGTCACACAGCCACGTGCCAGGCTCACAGGGGAGCTGCAAGAGCTGCTTGTCAGAGATGCAGAACCCTTGGGTTTCACGGGTTTAGGCAGCCTCTGAGCTGCGAATGCCTTTTTCATGTGACAACAAAGATCTGTGAGCATCGACTCCAAGGGCCATCATAATTCAGGAGGATGCAAGAACTTGCTGAGACTCTTGCTGAATATCTGTGGGTTGAGCAAATCCCCACAGGTACCAGTAACAGGGAACATATCTCTGTCATCAGCAGCAGCACAAATTCCTTTTGGACACCCTCACTGGGACACTTGCAGGCTGGGAGGAGATAGAAGTTACTCACAGGGTGTCATGTGCAGTTAATGTCATCCACAGTAGGAGAACCCTGGGCACTAAAAGGCTTCATCTTTCCTGCCTGCAGGTTTGGCTCCTTTGTGTATTCTAACCAAACTGGGATCTTTTTAAATAATGAACTTGCTGACTTCTGCATAACAAACAGAAGCATTAAACCAGGTGAGCATCCTTATCCTCAGAATAAAGCACAGGGCCAGGGGATGGATACACAGGCTGTGTACAGGTGGGCAGGGACAACCTGTAAACTTACAGGTACTCTTTCCTTTCTTAAATCTGGATGAGAGCAAGTTTATTTCAGACTAAAAGAAGATAAAGCCCTGTGTGTCTGTGTCTACTCACATATCTCCTTGTATGGAAACATGGGAGTTTTGGTTTCTAACCAGCGAAATTAGAGGTTAATAAAATGCTGAAGCTGGTCACTGATCACAAGGAGAGGGAAGAAGTGAAGAAACTGCTGCTAAGACAAGCCTGCTGCTATTATAGGCTCATCTATGATTCTGAGTACAGAGCTGCTGCTTGCACTGAGCTCTGTGACACAGCAGTGTTGGTGCAGACATGGCTCTGTGCCACAAGCTGTCCCTGCTGCATCCCCCCCAGCCTGCTGGGAGGGGACACCAGTGCTGCTGTGGCAGGATTTCTGCAAAGGGTTCCTCATCTGGTTGGGTGAGCTGCAGCAAGTCCTGAATACTTGTAGGATGCCCTGTCCTGCATCAAGAGAAGCTTGTTTAGCTTGTGCCATAAAGGTCCCATTTTTTGGGAGACAGGCTTTCAGTACAAGGAAATTTTTCTGGAAGTCTTGAGCACCTTGAGGAAGGAGCAGCAGCTTGTTTTTCTGTGGGAGACAAAAGAAAGGCAAGGTAGATGAACCTGTGTCCCTCCTACCCTGTTTAGAGCCACATGGAAAGAATAATATCTCTGCTTCTGCTCTAGGAGAGAAGCCTCCATCAGCCATGGTGCCTTCCATCCTCATCTCCAAGTCAGGAGACATGCTGGTGATTGGAGGAGCAGGTGGGGGCTGGATTATCAGTGCTACCACCATGGTAAGTGAAACCCACAGCAAGCTGCCAGTTCTTTCAGCCTTCCCAAATTTCTAGCCATGGTCAGTCCCTATTCAGCTCTCCTCAGATCTTGACTCCTTAGTGTTTTTTTTTTTTTTTTAATTTGCAATTTAGAAGTCACTAAAGGCTGCAGGCTGTAGGCCAGGTAAAGCATTCTGGGAAGTATGATGTGCTCATCCTATTCTTTTACTTTCCCCAAGCATCTGGTATTGGTCACCATGAAAGCAGGACACCAGGCTAGTAGGACTGTGGGCCTGGCTCAGTGCAGCCTGGGTTGCACAGTCCAGGTTTGATGTCCAGTTGGGCAGTGTGGGATTTGTTTTATTGCAGGGGATTATAAACAAGCTGTGGTTTGGCTACGACTTGGAACAGGCCATTTCAGCTCCTGTCATGCACACCCAGGGTGACAGAGTCCTGTTTGAGGAGTCTTTCAGCAAGGTGAGTGGCCTTGGTGGGCAGCAGATTGCTTCTGTAACTCTCCTGGGTAATCTTTATTTTGCCTCTGGCTCACCTCCTTCTTGTTTAAACCTCACTTTCTCAACCGGACTCCACACACACATCCTACAGTTTCACACCTGGCAATGTTAAGATCTCAGGCCCCTGCCCCATTCACTTCATTTCCTCTTCTCTCCCCACACAGGAGATTAAGACTGGCCTGCTGGGAAGAGGACATAAAGAAAATAAAGATAAATTTGCAATGAATGTTGTACAGGGAATTTCCAAGGAAGGAAAATGCATCTCTGCTTACTCTGATAAAAGGAAGCTGGGGAAATCAGCTGGATATTAGCATGAAATGCCACCACAATTCACAAAGCCACAGGAGATTCAGAACATGCTTTACTTGGACGTGCCCATAATTTCCTGTTCCCATCAAGATGTCTCCTGGAGCATGGGCACAGACTGTGGTTACATCTAATTCCAGTAGGCTGCAGGTCACCCTCAGGCAACACAAGGAGAGGTCAGCCAGCCTTGTGTAGAGCTACACCTTCCATTACTTACGTGATACACAGAGAACATATTGTGCACACCAGTTACTCAGAATGAGAGAATACAAAGTGTGAAAGGAAATTTGGTCCAAACCCCACTGAGAACACTGTGAAATGGCCCAGATGTGTCCTCTGTTCCTGATGGAGTCTCAGTTTCTTTCAGGCTGCTCCACAATAAGCTTATTGCTGGGGCTCAGCAATGTGAAATACATAACTATTTTAGCTATGAACGAGAAGCGTCTGTAGGCTCAGGATTTTAAAATCTGAGGTATTCAGGCTTAGAGCGTGGATTTGGGAAGAGAAGAGATCAAAATTCCACGCTCTCCCTCTGTTTTCTCATCCAAAGAAGCCCAGGTTTTCCCCAGGGTGGCAGATGAACTCACACCCTGGCACAAGAGCTGCCCTGCCTGCTGCTCTCTGCCTCAGGGGTGCAAAGGACCCCACAGGCTCAGGGTAACTGCACCAACACTTCTTCCAGCCCTGCATGAGTGACTCTGAGAATAGCCTCCCATGGGAACAAGTGATTTCCCTGCTCCTGGGACGAACAGGCTTCAGATCAGCTCCCTGGAGGTTCCTCTCCTCCCCCTGTGGTGAGATGGGTCCCAGGCTGTGCCAGCTCTCCCTCCTCGACACCAGTACATCAGTCTTTGGGAAGGCAGCTCAGGAAGGCAGCAGAAATGTTGGTTTTGGAAACTTTTGAACTTTCTTCAAATTGCAAATTATACGTGATGAGGAGATATCATTTGTAGCCCTGAGCTCAGCCTGGCCAGGCAAACACCAGGACTGCTGAGAAGTGATGCAGCACTATTAGGCATTAGCAGAATTCCCCCATATCCTACATGCTCCAAATCCCTGTTTACCACAGCCAGGCCCTAGTGTTCTCTTCAGACCACAAGCAGGGCATTGTAGGACTCTAAGAACTATCACAGAAAGGGAAAACTTTAGGAGAAGAGACCTGAACCCAAAAGTTCCTGGATTTTGCACCTGGATACAAAAGGTCTTTTGCAGTTAATCCATAACTTTGCCCTGCTCAAAAAAGCCTAGAAATGAAACATTTAAGAAAGTAAAACCTGAAACCCACAAAACCCCCAAAGCTCTTCAAATATGCAGGGTCAGATTCCCAGAATCCTCCAAAATTCCATTTTCCCGAAGCTCCTGAGCCTGATTGCCCTATGGGCACAGTGTTGCGTGTGTGTCTGAAAGAGAAAGAAACCAGAGCCAAGCACTAGCAGAGCCCTCCCCCTCACACACAGAGCCCACGGGACTCCTAGTTCTCCAACAAATAGAATTCCTCTGTAAACATCATAACAAGCACACACTGTTAAAAAAACACAAATTAAAACAAGGCCAGCTAGATTTGAAGCCAATGTTTTTACTCACAACGCCTGTCCAATAAAGTCATCAATTCACTGAAATCTCAGCCTTCGCTTGCATTTTAGTGATGGTCCAAGTGAAGCTGAGCAGAGCCAGACGTGTTTTCCTTCAGAAGTTGTACACCAAGGACTGCAGCACGGCCCCTGCTGAGTTACCAGATTGTAACCACAAGCACTAAATCATGCAGCTGGAAATCAAGTTACTCACGGATGGAGCCAGCTCCATGCGCTGCCCTGCTCCCTCCTTGTCCAAGTGGAATTCATCTTAAATCCCCCAGTTGAGGAAGAACTGCTGGTTTCTCCATCAGAGCTGCTCGCTCACACCGTGGAAGTGGCCTGGCACCCTGTGAGGCAGCACCACAGTGCTGGTGAATGGGAAAGGAAACAGCCTTAAAAGCTGAGGAGGGGCAGTTTTTATGTTCACTTGGAAGGGCTTGACTGTGACTACCAAAGAAACCAAATCTAATTTGCTGAAGTTTTGTACCGTGATTAACTCCTTTGCCCCAGCTAGCAGTTCCTGGGTGCATCAGTTCTGGTGTCAGAAATAGCACCAGACAGAGCTGTGCAGGAGCCAGACACCATCTGCAGCACAGACCAGACTGGATGCTGGCTCTGGCAAGATCTGTAGCTATTTCCAGCTAACTCCACTGAGCTGAGAGTTTACAATCAGCAACTGAGAGTGGCACTGGCTGGAGACAGGGAGAGCACTCCTGGTTTCTCTATTAGGCTTCAGGGCCACCTTCAGCAGTGCCCTGGTCCCTCTCCATCATCTTTTACCACAGAAAACTCAAATCACTAAGTAACTAAGTCTTCCATTACTTTTGCTTCTGACACACCTTAGGGTGAAGCACCCTGCAGTACTCCAGCCTATCACCTTTCCAGGGCAGTAGAACCACAGCTACTTCCCCCCACAAGGACACGGGAATATTATCTTTAGTCCAGTACTCACTGCACTTTAACTGCTTTATTATTAACTTTGCAAGTGAGCCAGTGAAGCAGTTTAAAAACCCATCACAGATTTAATTGCAAAACAGAAGGGAATGGGAGTGCAGATCTCTCAGTGCAGCAGAGACTTCCAGTCCTGCAGTCCTTCCTAGCAGGACACCTGGGGAAGCTGAGATTGTACCTGCTTTGGCACTTCTGCTCTTGCCTTGCCACCTCCTCACTGCTGCTGAAATCTGCTTGGGTCAAGAGCCTCTCAGTTTGGTCTCTCCACATTCTTGCTCCTCCCAACAAGAGAGAATTATTTTTGTACTGAAATCAACTTACATGGACTTATAAAGCATCATTGTACAGAGGCTGCTCTATTTTCTAATGAAGTCTTTAAGTTATACTTTTAATAAAGTGTTTTTAAACCTGTCTGGGAGTTTCTCCTCTAAACTTGTTGCTTATCCCATCACACAAGCACAGAGGACTCCATGCAGGTGTTTCCAGCAGTACCAGTTGTTCATTCTGGAGCCTCATATGGTTCTGGAGAAGCTGAGAAATGATGCAGCTCCTGCCACTTATCTCCCACAGCTGAGTTTTGTTGCCTTGCAGAGGCTGGATGGTTACCAAAACAAAATTATGGTAACGTCAGACTGAAGAATAGGGGCAAGAGGTGAACCCTCCAGCTAATGATCTGAATTGCCTTTTAATGGTACAGCTTCCTTTCACATCAGCTGGAATCAGTCATGGAATGTGTCCTGTTCTCCATGCCCTGCACTGGAGCAGGCAGCCCACACCAACACACTGTGTGCACCCAGGAGCAGGGCCAGGTGCTTGCATTCCAAAGGTGGGACATGGAATGATGAGGGACCTCAGAGACCACCTTATTCTGACCCCCTGTCATGAGCAGGGATGTCATTCACTAGATCCAGTTGCTCCAAGTGCCAGCCAACCTGTCCTTGAACATTTCCAGGCATGTGGCAGCCATGGTTTCTGTGAGTAACCTCTGCCACGGCCTCACTGCTGTCCCAGTCAAGAATATCATCTTAATATGTAACCTAAATGTACCCTCTTTCAGTTTAAAGCCATTCCCTCTCATCCTACCCAGAAGACTTTTTGCTGCAGCTGAAACATCCCATAAGCTGAGCAGCCTGGAGGCTGCAGCTGGAGGTTTTACAGCAGGAACCACTGACTGACATCTGACAGACAGCCCCAGCGAAGGGTGAGCAGTGGGATGTGGTATCCAAGCAGGTGGCAGAAGTGCCTGCTCCATGTACAGTTATGTCCAAATGAGATGCAGATAATTACAGCTTGCAGAAGTATCCATAGCTTTTTTAAAAAAAACGTAGGATGTAAGTGCAAGCTGTAGCCCAATTTAACAAATCATTCTTCTGCAGTGATATCACTAAAAAACAACCAAACAAACCAACTTCTGCAGCATCAAGAATTCAAATGTAGTTATATAAGAAGAGTTGTAACTAGGAGTGTTTTAAGCTTTCCACAGGGGAAGCTTTTTAACACAGATTATAAATAATAGGGGAATTTTCTGACTAGCAAGAAGAAATTCAGGAACTTAAGAACAACTGCTGCACCATGAACTGTTAGAGGCAACCCAGCAGCAGCCACTCAGATCTGTATCAGAAATCAGGATTGTTCAACAGGTACTTCCCAGAAATCAGTTCCCTTCCACTTTTAGACTAACTGTAGTGACTGTAAGACTCCAATAACCTTATTTTACTGTGCAGTAATTTTCTTTATTGCTCAGGTCACACCTAGCCAAGAATAAACTCAGCTAGTCCCAATTCCAAAGGCAGCCTGACATCGAAGGACACCAGTAGTGGAATTACAAGAAGTGGAAACGTGAAAGTCTCAGTGCAGCAGTAAGAGGACACAGGCTTGGTCCCAGTCTGGTCTTTTGAGGGAACAAGAGGGAACATGGTGAGGTCATTCACAATCACTGCCTTTGCTGCACCTAATGCAGCACCACCAGTAAGAGCTCAGTAAAAGGAGCCAGAGCACACCCGGGGCACATTTGGTAAAAGCCACTCATTTGGGTCAAATGATACAAGCAAATGTGTATGTCAAAGTCATGACTCTGACTTAAGCATCATCTATCACTTAATTCTGTGAAACTGGGCTCTTCTCAGTTCCAGACACTTCCAGGAAAGAGGTTGCATGATGCCTAAAACTTCAGCCTTTCATTTTCTCTACTGTATTTTAAGGCTCTTACAAAGAGACAGGAAGTTTCAACGAGCCAAATAGATGAGTTAACTTACTGCCACTTGTGTATCAAGGATTTCAAAAACACCACTAGAGCATGACAACATCCTGAATCATTTGGTTTTAATCTTGGGCTAAGTTTATGTGATGCGAGGTATTGGTCCCTGCTGGTAGGTGAACACCAAAACCCCTCATGCAGGTACAAACACTCTCATCTGCTCCATATCAGACAGGGATTTCTGAGAGGTCCTGAACAGTCTGCTTAAAAGTAACTTACCTTTAAACAAGAGTACACTTTTTTAGAAGTTTCATTTCCCCAAACTCTGGTATTTCACACCTGCAGTAAGATGTGATAAAAAGCAAAGTGGAGAAAAACACGCTTGTTTTGGATACATAACTGTTATATTTTACTCATGACTTCATCAAAGCAGTGAAGAAAAGACAAATCTCAGAAGAGCTTCTTTCACACAGACTCTCACCATCCCTTTTCGCAGCAACTGTGCAGGCAAGGAAAATGTGTGACTCCGTATTTATTTATTTTAGTTGTGCTCAGAGTTTTACAGGTAGCATCTTCCCTTTAGACCTTCTCAACAGAAATATAAAAAAAGTTTGAAGCCATTTCCCCATTTCCCCCCACTCATCTCCAAAAATCAACTGGGTCAAATGCAGAAACATCTTTTGTTAACAGAGTGGTGAGTTTGGCTTACCCCAGTCTAGGGCTGGGCTTCCTGCTATGGCACAGACCTATTAGTTTGTAACTTAGAAAACCCAGTCTCAGAGTCCTGTAACTCCCACCTACTCAACAGGAAACAAATATCTTCTCTAGCAGTGACAGGGACATTCCTGGTGGCTGACACCATGCAGGGGAAACGCTTCCTGCAGCTTGAGTGAGCCGGACCTTCTGCAGAAACTGGGCACCCAATGTGTCTTCATGGGATGGAGAGGAGGCAGGGAACAAACTCTTCAAGGCAGAACAGACTCTTCAAGTAAGTACTGCACGTCCTGGTGGACGCGCCTGTCTTGGCAGACGGCTGTGGCATGAGGCACTTCGGTCATGGCTGTAGAGAACTGTCCCAGTTCCATCAACAGAATCACAGGTAAATGCGTTCTCTTTCCTGTGAGAAGTCCCTGAGTTGCAGATCTAAAGGATCTTCCCCCCAAACACACCTTGGTGTCACTAGACCACTGGAAGAAGGAGCTGAGCCAGGTCAGTAGCCCGCAGGGAAGCCGCCTTTCCGTGAGTCGGAGGCCGCAGCCCACCCGCGCTCTGTCCTCAGGATGGCCTGGACCACGGCGCCGCCGCTCACCCGCGACGTCTCGTGTCTCCTCTGCTGCAGCTGCTGCTCCACGCCCTGCAATGCACAGCCGGGTCAGCACAGCACACACTGCACTGCTGCAGGCCGGGACCTGCACCCTGCCTCCTCTGCTGCAGCTCTATGCCCTGCAATGCACAGCCGGGTCAGCACAGCACACACTGCACTGCTGCAGGCCGGGACCTGCATCCCCCAGGTGTTCAGGGCCTGTGTCAGACAGGGCTAAATCTACAATGCTGCTCCTCCTCTTCCCTTTGCTTTCTAGGGTGCCCTACTTTTGAAGAAGTGGGATTCAGAGGATTTTATATTTGTGGTGTTCAGTGTGGGTTACCAATACTATTCTTGGTCACAGATATTCACACACTAACAGTCAGGACTGATGGATCCTGTTTGGTAGCGGTGGAAAACACAAGACTTGTAGAGAGCAGGGCATCCTCCCCAGTGCTGGCAGATATCTCAGCTGTTACCTTCATAAGAAGCTTATTAACAGAGGAACTTCTGCAGAGTTTGATAAGAAAACTGCATTATGTAGGACTGTTTTCCCAAATACAGAGGCAACAGAGATATGAGGTATGTACAAAGAGGCAGATACAGAGGCATGAGGTATGTACAAAGCCTGTACCTGTCCCAGGCCTCTGGGACATGCAGTTTCTCAGGGTGAATGAAGCTGCCAGCTCAGATGAAAGGTCTGGAGAGAAGGCAGGCCTTGCCATCAGCTCTCCAACTGACAGTACTGTGCTGACATCTCTACTGTGAATACACTTTCAAGTCTGCTCCCAGGTCCCTCTGGGCATCTCCCCTTGCTAGCTCTGGGCCAAGCCTTCCAGACTGATCACAAGGTTACACAACAGGACAAGAGTTCCCTGAGACTGACTGGATTTAGTCTGCTGGGTGGTCTGGGCCCTGATGTGGTTTGCTGTTTTGCAAGTCCTTTGTGCCAAACATCACTGCAAGCAGGTGCTCAGTTCCAGACACAAGTCACTCTTCAATGCACTGGCTTCACACCTGTGTGACTGAGACTAAAGGTACACTTTGAACAGCTTATTGTGACCCAGCACTAGACCTGTACCAGCTTCACTACTGCTCACCCAGGAACATTTGGCCAAACCTGAAGATTTTCCACAGTGCTTGCCTTCCCAGCACTAGGAACCCATCCCATAGGAGTTCATGTGAAGACCAACCTCCTCTATTTGCTGCTCAAGCTCCGTGATATTGGGAAAGAGCTGATCGTGAATCCTGGGCTCCTCCACTGCCTTCTTCACATCGTAACCAAACCAGATGGAATTCATGATTGTCTGTGAGAAGCAAAAAGCCTTAATGTTAATTACTTGTCTTCAAAGAAGTCTGACCCTTGGAGCCACACAGGCAGAGAGGCCTCAAGGATGAGCACACAAAAGGCACCATTTCTGGTTTACATGGCTTTCATGGTTCTTCTCTTGGCTAAGTAAACACAGGTACATTGCAGCTTGTACATGCTTAGGAGGATTCCCACACAAAGGAACCATGAGTGGCTAAAATTAACACAGCAAAAGGACCAGATCCCTAAGCTATGGTGGCTGGATTTATGCTGCTGTAACTGAGCACACAACAGTCATCTCAACAAACACACTCATAGCTTCCTGCTATTGTACAAGCAGGTCCCTTGGGCCTGGCTCATCTCTGCAGGATTGAACTGCAGGCTGGAGCTGCTGGGAAGTGAGAGCATTCTCAGAGTCCAGGGCTTAGGAAGTTGCTTGTAGTGGTTTTTACAGACTTCTCCTGTACCTCAGTCAGAAAGCCAGATCCATCCTGGTGCTGCTGGCACAGGGGACAGTCACTGCTGCAGTCACTCTGGGGTGGTTTGAGTGGCTGCCACAGCAGCTCACAGAGGCCCTGCCTGTCAGGCCTGACACTGTGCCTGAGCTGAGCTCTTATTTAGCTTCCCTGTGTGACTTTGATCCAAAGTTTGGGATGTTGGATGGGAACAACTCTAAACAAAATAGGCTCATGGAGGTCCAGAGAACAGAACTCAAAGCAAATCTTGTGCAAGTGGTAAGAACAACTTGCCAGAGAAGATGTCACTAAAGGAGGCACTGGAGTCACTAAAGGAGGCAATTTAACAGCAGACCTTCTGTAGCCCTGGCAGGAGTTGGTGTTGGAGGCCTGTCCCTCAGAATGCCAGGCAGGAACCTCCTTTCCAAGCCCCTGGCCCCCAGCAGAGAGTCACAGCCATGATCCTGTCACAGGTGCAGACAGGAGTTCCCCCAAATGCTGCCTGTCCCATTTTGCCTCGTGTTGTCCCCCATTTGCCCCGACCACCACGTACCAGTGCTGTTGCTGTAGTTATTTTTGTTCCTCCAGAAGCACCAACCACCATCTTCACCTTTTTATTTTTATCCACCAAAATGGAGGGGCACATAGAGGACATTGGCTGTTTACCTGTGGGCACACAGATGCAACACAGAGCTCAGCTTTCTACCTGCAGCCCACAAACTTCCAGCTCTTGCTCCATGTCTAAACCAGAGCCTCAGTGTCCACCTTCCCAACTCAGCTCCTGCTCAGTCCTTGGGGATCCCACCATCCCCTGCACCCCTCTCCTCTGCAGATTCCAGACCTGTCCCATGGCACAGATGCTGCAGTGTGAGCATGCACAACACAGCCAAAAGACTGAATCAGGAAGGTAGTTTACAGCTACCTGGAGCTATGAAATTTGCTGGAGAAGGAGGGATCCCAAATCCATTGATTATGTAAGGTGAGCTGAAGTCATCCATTTCATCATTAAATATGATTCCGCTCACGTTGGATCGTACATCAGAGCCAAAGCTGGAGAAAACAAATTGTCAAAGTCAGGTCAAAACCACAGCACATCTAGGCAGAGCTTCACTGAATTTACTGCAATGTGAAACCTGGGATTTGATTGGAGTAACGCTCCACTCCTTCCCATTGTAAAGGACTTTGTGTCACCCCTAGGGGGGAAGGAAGCTGTTAATACCGTGAGTACACACAGAGGAAAGGCAGCCCAGAGCCCTTCCTACAGCTCCCCTGAGAGAACCCCATGGGGAAAACCAGCACAGCACCTCAGTACAACTATTGCCCCTTGCAGGTGGGCAGTACTGCACTCTGTTCAGAGGCAGCACAGCTCAGATGTTGGCACATTTGGGAACGACTGGGGGTTTGCTTAGATGTGTCAAGCTGAAGACATTTTCTATAGATAAAAATAAGTGCATGCCCTGGCTCCAGGCCATATGTGTGATAGCTATTTCTGACAGCACTCACAGCCAAATATTGAGCTTCCAGGCCAGCTGGATCAACTCAAATTCCTCCCAAAAGCCTGGGAAATCAAACCCAGCAGCAATAGCTCTGCTTATGAGAAGATCCAGATGAGTGCATGTTGTGGTGGAATTCAGCATGAGAGAGGACACATCTCGTCCTCTGACACCAGCAGAGGCCTCAGGGTTGAGCACTGACCTGCAAGCTCAGCAGAAGTGCCCATCAGCAGCACTGCTGACCCCTGCCCCAGCCCAGAGGTGACAGCTCAGTGGTGCTCGATACCAACCCCAGAACCAGCACTAGGAAGATGGCAAAGGCCGACAGGGAAGGAATGTCTGAGCTCATACTATTGGTTGATGGTGCTGGTGGCGGACACAGCACTGCCATCATCAGCCACAATGGAGATGTGGGATGTACCGGCATTGTCTCCAGTGTAATACACGGGCTCATAGTAGTCAACGGGATGGGAGGTGTTGTCTGTGATTTTCCTCCGCAGACTATCCGCAAAGAACTCGGATGTCATGTTTCTGATGGCCTGTCAGAGAAATCCAGTGCAGTTACTCAGCAGATTTAGAGACATGTAGCTGTGAGGCTGATACCCAATATACTTCAGATCACAGAACAGTGGCAAATCCCAGCAGTGAGGCTGCAGTTTTCCCTCAGGGGCCTTCCTTCTTGGAAGATGGACATTGTACCAAAAGATCATTTTAAGCTGTCACAGGAGCAGCTGTTACAGTCACCCCCTTGTGCAGAAGTTAATCAGCATCCACTATTGCAGTGCTATGGAAAGCTGCCTCCACACTGCTGTGAGGCAAGCAGGGCTACACTTCCTTCAGGGACAAGAGGAATGGGATCAGATGGAGAGGACAAGGACAAGGCAAGGTCTGACCAGAGCTCTGTAAGTTGAAAATCTGTGTTCATCAAGCTGGGCTGGGCTCAGAGTGTCCTGCTTTTGCAGGCACAGAAGTAAAGCACAAAGTGCAAAGTTGAGACAAGCAGTCTCACCCCTTCCCACCTCTTGCTCCATTTTACTACAGGCAGGACTCTGGTTAGAGAGCCACAAGGATGATGGGAATACAGTGAATAAGGCTTCAAACACTATAAAACCAGGCAGGGTTAGACCTAAATGCACTCCATCTCTCCTGGTGAATTGAGGAGTTTGCTTTTCCTTACAGCAGGAAGGTTGCCTCCATTTCTAGCCCTCCCAGCTCAACCATGAGCCACACAGGACATTGGTTTTTTTACTCAGAGCTGTTTCAGTGCCCAGCAAGTGGCACAGAGCATGCCTGACAAAGAAGAGTCACACAAAAACTTTAAGCCACGTTCCAGTCAACTTTAGTGTTGCAGAAAGGTTTTTTCCTCTGTACCTCTGTAATGTTGACAAATTTTGGGTCTCCCAGCAAAGTCCTCTTGGCGTAGGCAAAGCGAAACGCCTCCACGATGCGGTGGTAGGTCAGACCTTTCTCCTCCACAGTTTTGACGCTGGCAGCAGAGAAATTATACCCTGGCAACAGAGGATAAACGAGTGTGGACACAAAGCACGGGGTCAATGGATCCCTAAGGCACCTGTGTTGAAGCCCAGTCTCTACAGAGATGCAGTCTCTGAACTCTCCTGATCTCCACGTGGAGAACTCAGGAGCTCTGGTAGTTTTGAGCACTGTGGGAGTCACCAGCAGAATTTGTACTTGCAGAGGTGTTTTCCAAAGAAGCCTCAAGTACGTGCTAGGGTCCACCCACACAACTATCAGGGAAGCTCCCCTATCAGGAAAATATTTTTCCTCTTGCACCTGTATTTCAGGTAGGAAGGCAACATCCCTGAGTTTACAGCGAAGAGGAATGTTTCTGCATCTCTGATCTCCCCTGGGATCTCAGATTTCTCACCTGCTGGAGGGCTAGCAGGGAGGCCTTGTTCCCCCAAAAAAGGTGATTGGAGCTCTCCCAGCTCCTGCAGCCTCTAGGGCACTGCTCTGAGGCACTCTCACCTTTCAATATGTTGAAAATGAGGGCCAGAACTGGGCCACTGAGGGGGGCACTGGGTGTGTAGAGGGTGAACTCCCCGAGTTTGATCTCTATGGGGTCCTCGATCACTGTGGCATTGTAGTCCCGCAGGTCTTCCAATGTGACAATTCCCCCTGCAGAGAGAAGGAAACGAGAGATGTGGGTTTATCTGATCTCTGGTGGGAAGAGGAGGTCATACTCCATCACCACGAATCACAGCAAGGAGTGGAGGGAACGTGGACAAATCCAAAAAGCAACAAGGTGAAAAAAGGAAAGGTGTGTGCTCACGAGATTTACTCCTTGATAGATCCATGTGAGGCTCAGATAGTCTCAGCACGAAATCAGGCTGATTTACAGCAGCCAGAACTCTGGTGATCCATCTTTTTTTACAAAGGACACCAGTGTCAGGCTGCAAAATGTCCTTAAGAATTGTGTTTACAGGAGGAAGATGCAGTTTTGGGTGCAGATGTTTTGTGGCACTCCACAAACAGAACAATTTGAGTGCTCCATCACCTTTCTTACCCGAAGGGGGAAGACATTAAGTAATTACCCACCACAAATAAAGCCAGTAAATTACTCGCGGGAAGTTCACCAAGCTGGCCAGTGCCGGCTGGTGAGGATAGGATACTGCCACCATCTAGTGGCACCAAGAGATCAAACAGCTCAGAGTTCACAGGAACAGCCCGTATGCGATTTTAGGTACAAACTCGTTGGATTTAAGCTCTGTGAACAGCCTGTATCTACTCAGCTACAGCCAGAACTGCACAGACTTGGGAGGGCTCTGTGGTACAGAAATGCACAGTGAACACTCTCCATTTCTGAGTTTCAAACACATCTGTTAAAGTGCTTCTTTTGGGTGTCCTGTTGCCACAGATCTCAGAGGCAGCATTTCAGGGTTGACCTCTCCCCAAGGCTTCTGCAGGTCGCTGGCTCTGAGCAGTGTGGTCACTCCTGCTGCTTGGGACAGCTGTCCTGGCTCTCACCTGCTTTCTGGATGTCAGCAATGATCTGCTCTGCCAGGCTTCCTGTGTAAAAGGCATCTGCTCCTTCTGTGGCTATAGTCTCATAGGTGCTGGCTAGTTTGGGCATCTTGATGGTTTCACCCTCTTGCAGAATTTTCCCTCCTTTGCAGAACACTTCACTAACAGAGAAAGGAGATTAAGATCAGGTCTGAGAGACAGGTTCAAAACTATGTGTATCTGTGGCAGCTGAACCAGCATGAGTGTTCATGCTGGAAGCTTCTTGGAGAGAAGAGAAACTGCCTGAGCCACGGCCCAGGGGTCCTCAAATCTTGGCACTGGGACACAAAATTGAAGAGGGTTTTCTGACCTGCAATTCTACATGCTCAGTTTGCTCAAGGGAGCTTGCAGCAGGGATTTTCACCATGGCACCAACCTCCCTGCCCACCCAAGGGGCCAGCAAGTGCCTCAAGATGCACAGGAGGGGCCACAGTCCTTGAACTCAGCAGTTCAGTTCAGAGCACAGTCTATTAAGCTATGAGGTTCAAAGCTTCCACGAAATCCAGAAATGTTTCATTCCCTGTTTGTTAGATCACTCTAAGGTAGATTGTTCCCTCTCTAGCTCCCTCGTGATAGATCATGACTGTGCTGCCATGGACCTGCCAGATGGAAGGGCAGGAGAGAGGCCAGGATGTGCATTCCCAATTGGATAGGAAACAAAACTGCAGCTGGCAGATATTATAAGGAAAAGAGAAAATTAAGCATGATCTCCAGCAGGGCTGGACATAAACACTAAGGGTTTGTGTGTAAGAAGTGGAGGAGTATTTAAAACCCTTCATGCTCCAAGTCTTTGCCACAAGTGGATGGTCAGAGGCACTGCTCGAGGAAGGCTGATTGCAGAGTAAGAGATGATCCAAATTCCCACTGCCTGACAACAGATGAGATGCTCAAGGAGACTGCAATTACAGGTAAGATCAGCTTGGTGCACTTAGAGCATGAGGAAAAGCTGGGGATTCAGAAAATACATTGCCATTGGGCAGACTGATCCCAGCACATACTCTAATTCCAACTTTGCTCAGACAAATTGACTTCAGGAGTAGAATTTCCCTCCCTTTAAAGGTCAGGACTGAACATTCCCCATGATTTAGCACCTTTAGGCGTCTGCAGTGACAGGCACAGTGAGTGTGGTTACTGCAGGGGAGGCACACTCCTCACCAATACTGCAGGACACAAACACAGGGACTTTGCAGATTGGATGCAGCCACCCCAAATTTCTCTGCATAGAACAGCAACTGCTCTACCTACCACAGCAAGGGATTGCTTTCAATCGCCTCCTCTTTTGATTTGATGGCTGCAGCAAGGCCTTTCCCAATAGGGAATCCTTCTCTTGCCAGCCTGACACTGGGCATGAACAGCTCTTTCCATGGTAGTTTGCCATGACGGTTGTGAGCCAGCTCATAGCCACGGATTTCTCCTGGAACAGCAATGGACAGTCCCCCTGGAGCAGAAAAGGAACGTGTTAGATCTTCCACAGCAAGAAAAGGAAGTGCTTGATGGAGCAGGAGGTAGGGCAAGCATCTCTGCCAGCCCTGGTTTAAGGCAGGGCTTGTGTGACCAGCTCAGTTTGTGAGAATTAACAGATTAACAGAATAATTTGGCCCAACATTTGTGCCTATGTATTCTGAACTGCTGAAACCCCTCTGTCCTCTTGCTGGTAACTGCAGTTTTAGGGTCATTTCCCCTCAGGAGGCTCTGCACCAGAGCAAAGCTGCTCAGAACACAGAAGCTATCACAGTGAGAGGACACAGACTGTCACAAACTTAAGCCAAAAACTTTTTTGCAGCATTGTAACTACAACTGGCACAGATTGATTCCACACCACAGTGATGCAGTAGTTTGCTTCAATCCTGTTTTCACTTGCATCTCCCAGAAGTTCAACACACTGCTCAAACCCCCTCAAAGGTGCTGGTCCTTCTTGCTCAGAAGAGTGAAGAGAACTAGTTGGTATTTCTTTCTATTTCTTATTAGAAAATACTTTCCTGAAAGGAACTTCTCTGGGGGCCTCAAGCCATTAGTTGGCCACCACAAAAAGTAATTTAGGGAGGACACCTGAACTGACAAAACCCAAGGTGATCCACACAAAGATTTTTTCAAAGAGGTGGAAGGGAAAGATGGCATATGTGGAACAGGTCATACTCAGTGCTTTGCATTCACCTGCTTTTTCATGAAGTGAAAAGCAGAAAGTGATGGGGTCCCTAGCTAGTTTAAAGAGCATTGTTTTTAGCTTGTCAGGCCAGAGTTTGCAAATTGTGTAAGAGAATATTTCCAGCATGTTTCTAGGTGAGAAATCCTGCACACAGGCAAGAACCTAACCATAAGAAATGTTCTGAATGTAGACATGCCAGTAGCAGTGAGTGCTGGTCCCCCAAAGCCTTTGCCATACCTTTCAGAGAGAGCTGTGTGTTGTTCCCAAACATGTCCTCCGATGCGTATTTTGGAGCCACTTCTCTTGCATTAATGATTTCCACTTTTCCTTTAATGACAGAGCAAGGAAGATGATGTTTAACTCTGGACTCAGCACAAAGGCATGATCTCTGCTGAAGAACTCTGATCAACATCAGCCAGTTTCTTGGCAATTATTTTGAGGACATTCCCCCAGAGGCTGTGAGCATCAGTTGTTTACCTTCTCTCAGGTAGGATAAATCACCTGCCTTAGATAAAGTTCTCCAGCTGTTCCAGCTGTGTGTGGCCCTGTCCCTTACCTGAGCTGCTGTAGATGGTGAAGAAGAGGCCTCCTCCAATGCCCATGCTGTGAGCATTCATGAGTCCCACACAAAGCAGGGCTGCAATCGCAGCATCCACCGCTGATCCTCCTCGTTTGAGGATGTCCCTGTGCAGCAGAAGGTGACATGTGACAGTGTCTCACTCCCTGTGAGCAGTGCCTGTACCATGGCAGAGCAGCTATGATGGATTCTCTGAGGCACATTTGCCCACACCCAGTCTATGTGCTCCTCAGGAACAAGAAGTTTTGAGCTTCTGTCACCAGACAGAATAGAACCTTAATGTTCAGTGTGCAGACCAGATCAGCTCTCATTAGAGACACATCCAAGCCAGTCTGAAAACAGTGAGATGTGACAGAGTACATGTGGGGACAGACATTCCACACACATTCATTACACTGTCATAAGAAATGACAGTTTTCTGAGGAGCCTTAAATCTGCAGCACTCGAGACTAAAACTGGAGGATATCTCAATAAATGTTTTTCTAAAGGAGCTAGAAAGAAATCTCTTGTTCTCATTGCTCATGGATCCAAGGAATCTTTGCCTGCTATGTTGTCCGTGAGCAACTGCAGTAAAGCTGGTCAAGTATGGTAAAAGCCTGGGGTTTATCAGGATCTCCTCTTTCTACAGGGAGATTAAGGATTGACTATCCATTGCACCTGGCCATGAGGAAGCAGCAGCCGTGGCTCATGGCAGAGCTGTGAGAGCTGATGAGGGTCGGGCACAGCGAGCAGGTACCTGCCAATGACGGAGCACGGCCCCGCGTCGGTGGCCACGGCCGCCCTCCTGTACGTGTGAGCATCCCCCGAGCGCAGCCCGAAGAACAGCCCCAGGAACAGCACCAGCCCCAGCAGCACCACTGTCACCAATGTCACCAGCAAACAGCGGGTCTTCATCTTCCTGTGGGGAGAGACAGCATTGTCAGCCCTGCTGCCACCTCCATATCCTCAAAGCAGCAACTATCATGGGTAAGAACCTGCCCAGAGCAGGCAGGAAACATCACATAAAAACCTCCAGATGCACAGGTGAGGTGGGAAATCCAAGCAGCAGAACACCATTGCTGTTAGTCATGGCTGGCATTATCTTCAGGACTACAAATTTTAAAATTTAACTTCACATAATCTGCTTTTAAATGCCATGTCTGTGGAGAAGTCTCTGTCTGGAAGGTTGCCAAGGACCACTGCAAAACACATGTAGGTAACCTTGGATAAAACTACCTGGCACAGGCAGTGTGAGCACAGCACCCATTCCTGCCTGGGACCCTTGGCCACAGCACCTTCCCAAGGAGCCAGGCACTCCCAGAGGGCCATGGCCAGTGCCCAGGTCTCCACGTGTCCCAGTCCTGCACTCAGTGCTCTCGGGCTGCACAGGGCTGCACCTCATGTGAGAGTGAGCACAGAACACCAAGGAGCTCTCTGGGTGCACAGGGGATGAGTGGATGGAGAGTCACTGCCACCTTGGTGGGACAGGCAGTTCAGCAAATACAGCTTCAACAGCTACTCTCTGACCATTCTTTTCCATTACAAGACAATTCCAGCAAAATAGACCTAAATTAATCATATTTCCTTCAGAGACCACCTTCCCCCTTTGTACTGCACCTCTGGGTTTTTACTACAACTTCAGCACAATAGCCAAGATGTTCTTTACCTTACCAAAGCATCTGCCATCCTCAGAGAAAAGCCAGTCCATGGAACTGTGGTGAAGAACAGATGCACCAACCCCACTGTGGATGCCCAGCAGCCCAAGGCAGGGTGAACTCCAGCAGCCAGAGCAGCACTCAGTGCCCTGCAGCAGCCACACACTCAGGATAAGGCAGCAGTGAGTGTGCCAGCACTGAGCTAACCAGAGAAAACAGGCCAGCCAAACCAAAACTTTTCTCAGAGGGGGGTGATTAACAAGCAGGGCCCCCCAGCCTCAGCCCTTGGCTTAAACCAGGAGATACACATTTGCTATCCAAGCCCTGTACCCGTGATCTCAGTCTGAGCACTAAAGATGCCCATCTCCATCCAGGTAAAGCAGCTGTAAATCTACTGTATGTGCTGCTCTGTAAACAAATGTCAACTGAGGGTAGTGAAAGTAAATGGATGAAACCTCTTTCCAGGTTCTAGAACTTAATTTACACTCAACTACTTTTAAAAGAGACCAGTGGTGTGTTTGCAGAGCAATGACTGTGCAGGGAAACAGAGAAGCCATTATGTCCCCAACAATAGCTCACACACAGCCTCAGAGTTTAAAGACAGTTTTTTTTGTTGGCAGAGAGATTTCAGCTTCAGCACTGGCAGTCTCCTCCAAGCTGCAAAGAAATGCCATGGGATCTTTTATCTGTGCCCCAGCTCGGCAGAAGGTGCTTTGTTTGGTCTGAAGGCTGCTCTGTGCTGGGCTGTCCTTCAAGCCTGGGCTGGCTCAAGCCCCGTAGTGCTGAGTTAACCCCTGGGCTCCTGGCTGGGGCTCTGCAGCTCTTGTCTCACTGCTGGGCCCCTGCAGGGTTTGCTGCCTCATCAGGCAAGTTATTCTGACAGCAGGAGAGAACCTCTCACCTCCTCTCTGGAATGGGATCACACCTGTGAGCATCCCACACACACAGAAGAGCTCCGTGCTGTGTCCTGCTGAGTGCACAGACCTTGGAAAGGGCTCTCCAGCCAAATTCATGTGATTCAGGCACAGCTCCTGGCCTGCCAGGCACGAGGATAAGACATGCACCACTGGGCAGCAACACACACAGGCACCATGTACCATGGCACCAGCCTGTGCCTCTGCAGCTCAAGTGAATGCTTTTAATGAAGGTGTAGCTGTGCAATCTGTCAGACTCATCCTGCCCAGGAAGCAGCAGATGTGTGAGCTCGAGACCTGCAGCTTTCTCTTCCCCAGCAATGAGCAGGGAGCAAACCCAGCTGAGGATAATCCTCTCCAGCCCTGCTGCCAGCTCAGCTCCCAAAAGCTCCTTAGCCCATCCCACGCCTGACCCTAGAGGGAAGCACAGCCCTCCCTGCCTTCCCAGCTGTGGCACAGCAGAGCCAAATGTGCATTTGGTTTGATGTACAGAAACCAGGAGAAGGATCAGGAGGCTGCAGATGTCCACTGCTAACCCACCTCTCCATGCTCCCTGTGCCCTGGGCAGGCACACTGCAGAAACAGCTGAGTTTTTGGACCAACACTCTGTTTGAACTCTGAGTTGAGTCCCCTTATGATTTATTATTGGGAGTGGAGCAGCAGCTGCAAACCACCACCTGAGCAGGCTCCCAGCTACTGTCTGCTGAGGTTGGCTTTAACATCCCCATCTCTGCCAAATCCAGCTGTTTGGAAGCCTGGCTTCAGTCACAGAGAGCTCTGGCTGCAGCAAAAGGTCTCCAGGAGAGAGGGGCTATAAAGCAATTAAAAGCAATACAATTATTTCTCCCTGTTATAAAGGTCCACCAGCCAGTCTTAAATGGAATTTTAAAAGTAGCCTGATTGTCTTAATTCACATTAGGAGAGGGGGAAGACCAGCAAGTAGCAGAGTTATTCTTGTACAAGCAATCCCAATGAGCTGCACTCAGATGTGTCACAACATGCACAACCTTATTTAAACATGACATTGGGTTTGAATTAAAAGCACCCCAGTGCAGCAGGGGGTTGCTATATAGTGTCAGGCAGGAGATGCAGGGTCTGACATCTCTGCCAAGAGGGCTGGGGCATTCTGTAGAGATGAAGAATTTGCCACGGTCAGGGAAAGTGCCAGCAGAATTGAAAGAGGAGAAGGAGATGTACTGGCCAGAAAGCAGTGGGGAGAGAACAGTGGGACACCAGAGGATGACAAAGGACTCCAGGCATGATCAGGCACTTCTTTGTTCCCAAATGAAGTAGTAAACGAAGCATCCACTGACAACACCTAAAACTTTAACCACAAACTTTAACCCAACAGGTTTCTGCTTTAACCCATCCTGCAAGAGCTTCACACCTCAGCACCTGCTCCTGAGAGTTCCCTGTGCTCCCACCCGCAGCCCAGCAGCCACTACTGCACCATTAGCTTTGAGATATCCACCCTTACTTTCCCCAGGCAGCACAAGAAATGCAAGGGTAGTTTGGAAATCTGGGCTCTTGTCACAGGGCACAGCTCATGCTCTTGTGTCAGGTGACAAATGATGAATTTCCATCATGGGATATTTTAATTGAAGTCTTACACAGTCTTCAGCTCCACCAGTGAGTGCTAAGGGAACTAAAGCAGGGGTTCAGCCAAGCCATGAAGAAGCCCAAAGAGGCTTCCAAATTCAGACCTAGGCACTGCTCCCAGCTGAAGCAGGAGGACAAAGCAGTCCCTGCAGAAACACATCGATTCCATTCAGCTCAGCTAGCAGCCCTCCTCACAGATGGTGCCTGCCTGCTGGTTCCTGTCCAGCAGCCAGCATCCCCCTCTGGGTTAATCCAGCACTGGAGACTCGTGTGGATGCACATCAGCTTGCAGGAGAAAGGAATCAGTGGTCCCTGCTTATTGCTGAGATAATCAACACTGGAAAGAACTGAGCTAAGTCTATGAATGAAGGGGCTGCTCAGCTGGGCCTCAGGTGCTGCTCAAGGAGAGCTCTTGGGATCACAGTTTGTGACTCCTCCACAGGCACAGGCTTCTCTAAAGCCTAATGGCATGTAGTATTCTGCCCAATGTAGATCAGACTCAGTTCACTGAGAAAGGGACAGTAATTTCCTCTTGAAGCAACTTTTTCCTCAAAAATCCCTCATGCTTCCCTGCAGAAATTTTAGCATTAAATCCAATATTTTTTATTTTAAGACACTTCAGCATAAACTATGAAGTGAAAAAAAAAAGGCAGAAAGGTGAAATAAATACAGAATTGCCCATTTTCACATGGTTTTCACAGTGTTTCCTAGTTGAGGACCTCCCAAAAACCTACAACTGGCAAACTCAATCTCAAAAACGTAAGTTATTTAAGTTCTATAAACCCATTAAAAACATTGTTACAGTCACTCCCAATTAAAAGTCAAAATGCTTCATCAAAATAGCTCAGTTCTCCCAACTGTTGCAAAAGATGTTTTCAGATGCTCTTTTGCCATTAAACTAGAAGTTGTTTATTGGACCTGAACTCATTCAGACTGGTTAGTCAGATCTATCATTCTCTTTTGGCAAGCTTACATGCTTACTAAAAAAGTCCCATTTTCACACATTCTGTCGAATAAGAAACCCCACACAGCACTTTCAGGTAGAGGGAATGGCTCAGTGAAGGTAATTCCTGTTTCCCCCTTACCTCTCAAGAGTATTTGCAAGCTGGTCCTGTCCTTTTGCACAGACCTGTGTGTACTGACCTCCTCTGAATGTCCTTTCTCAGGAAGTGAACCCTTTCCTAGGGGGAAAACATCCTTGTAGCAGTAGCAGTAACCACTTACTTTCCCTTAAAAGCTCTCCAAAACTCGTGTTTGCTATTTGTACTGCTCTGCTCACAGAGATGAACCCATTGAAACTCATTATGTTTGAATTCACAGTACCAGAGGAATGCAGAAGTAATCATTGACTAGGTGAAGAGTCAAGAATCCACACCTCTTAAAATGCATATTTTAGGATCCAGGAAGATTGTTTATCAACAGGAGAATCATTCTCTGTTCCTGGATTTGGTTATTACATGGTACAAATATTTTTCCTCACCTCATTGCTAGCTCTGAAGTTCTGATTGAGCAAATACAGTGGACTCAAGTTGCACCAGGGAAGGTTTAGATTGGATCTTAGAGAAAATTTCTTCACTGAAATGGTAGTCTGGCTGCCCCAGAAAGTAACTGGAGTAACCATCTCTGGAGGGATTTAAAAAACACTGCCAGGTTCAGCCGTGGTCACACTCGGTGGGGATGACCTGTGTGCCAAGTGTGGGCTGGCAGTGCCAGGGCACCTGGTCAGCTCCACACCTGCCCTCAGCAGCCAC